TCCTTAAATCCCTAGTTACTTGAGATCAGGTGATAATAAAAACTCTCAAATCATAAATCAGAGTATGATACCCATGGGTCTAATGGTGACAAGCCCCAACCTCGATATCCCTAAATATTAAGGTAGACATGTGCTAGCCGACACCCGAGGGTGACGAAGCCATTTGAAACATGGATACAATTAAGAAAATGTAATTAGAACGAATTAAACCAAAGCAGAATTGTACGCAGAGCATACAACTACTTAAGAATAATGTGAAGGAATTATAATAAAAAGTACGAACAAAGAAATGAGTCATACACTGAGAAGACTCGAAGATGCCTCAATGGAAGTGCCCTGACGCCGAGATTGTGTGCCTCGATTCTAACTCCTGGGGGGGTGCAAAAACAGAAAAGGTGAGTGGACCAAAGTTTATATTAATACTAATAATAGGAAAACCATTTTATTTCTGAACATACTAACCCCTTGTTTTGAAAACACATATAATACTACATCATAAGTTTTCTGAAAACTCTAACATGCAATGAAAACGTTCGTAAAACATGTAAGTGTAAAACAATGCTCGATAACAGTGCTATCACTGGCCGAAGGCAAATCCATAAATCTTATCAATACTGTACTCACTAGAGGTATCATAGTGGCTTGAAGGCATAACCATCACCAGAAGTAAAGCTGTACGACACTGGGTTACGCTAGTGAAGAAACCGTGGTCCATCACTCAAATGTGAAAGTGTACGACTCCGGGTTTTGCCGGAGAAGAGGATATAACACATATATCGCCCATCACCCGAAGGTGAAGCTGTACGGGGGTTCATCAAGCAAAGGTGAAGTTGTACGACTCTGGGTTACGCCAGAGAACAAGCATATACATATTACATCACACACCGACACTAGCCCCAGGCTAGTGAAGCTGGGGGTATATCATCAACTCCTTATTCGCCCGAAGATAGTACCTGTCCATCACCCGAAGGTGAAGTTGTACAACACTGGGTTACACTAGTGAAGAAGCCATGGTCCATCACTCGAAGGTGAAGTTGTACGACTCTGGGTTATGCCGGAGAAGAGGTATATACATAGACATCCTCAACTATGTCCTATGGCCATAGACATCTAAATACCCATGTTGTGTGGATGTGTCGTATCATAACCCACTAGATAAGCACTAAAAACATATCTCAAAAATCTCATATCAAATCATCAAAGCTCAAAAGCTCAAAGACTATCTCATAACTCCACGATAAATCATATTCATAAATCCATGGAATCTCATATTCATAAACCCGCAAAATAAATCATATTTGAAATCTATAGAAATTCATATACGCAATTCTAATAATTCAAACCTTTAATAAAACATAAATTCGATAAATCATAAATATTTCATAAACCACCAATATAGAAGTCTATAACGCATATTATAAAACATATTCAAATCATGAACTATGAAATGCATGCTAGGCTAAGATTTTATAAAAACATGTAAGTTAAGAAAGGGTCCGCTCACAAGTATTCCATTGCCAGAGAGCCACTCGAACTAGCGAGAATGGTGTCGCTTCCCATTAACGCGCCTAAGCACAATTTGAGATCATTTAGTAAAACTCTACTTAAACGATAGAATTTGGGAAAACGAATAACGGATTCGGATTCGGCACGTCGAAAAATCTACAGAGAGACCTTGGGTTTCCCCCCACGTGCCACCACGGGACGGCGGCTGGAAGACCACGCGCCGCCGCATGTAGTGATTTTCGGCAAACGAAAACCCAATTTTTTGACTTACTTTAAAAATTACCAAATTTTATAGGCAAGTAGAGCTTAATGAGAGGAACAACTTTCATACCTGGGCCGAAATCCAATTCAGCAGGGAAACACCTGAAAACTATCTCGATCTGCCAAAAACCTTAGAAATAGGGTGTTCTTGATATGATCCCAAACAAGCTCTGACGCCTCAACCAATGCATAGGCTTTGTTCTTGACCTCAAGGGGAGTCGATTGATGGTGGTGGTCGACTACACTAGCTTCAGAAATGGTGGATTGCCGCCGTGCACCCCACGAACTCGCTAAAGAAGACGACGTTCTTTGGTCGTGAAATCGTGACCCAGAACCGTCAAGTTTGGGTAGGAATATGAGCTGGGATGACGCTGAGTTGATTGGTGGTGGTGGTTCCCCATGATTTGCCGGAGAAACGCCGTGAAAGATGTCGGGGTGTTTGTAGCAATCTGGTCGGGTTGCAGGTCGAAGGGTGGTCCGGATTCCCTCATTCTCTCCTCCCTCATTTCCCTTCCTTGCTCTTTCTTTTGATTGGTCAGTCTCTCTCCTCCCCTTCCTGATTGGGCATCACCCCTCCCTTATTTCTCTCATCTTCTTTCCATCATAGTCACACACGTGGCACAAGACTGTTGCTCCAACAAATCTGGAGCCTTCCAGATTTATGGTCAAATAACCATTTTGCCCTCAACTTTGTTCATTTATAACTGTTTCGTTATAACTCCAAATTACGTTACGTTTGCGTCCACGCGTTCTTAGCGACGAGTACTACGAGGATGCGTCAAGAAAACAGATCTTACATGACACGAAAAAGTGGTCAACAAAAGTCAACTCATTTGCCTTGAAGGCATTTTCGTAATTTCACATTTTAAAAGTATAAAACCCGTAATTTTTTGGATGGGTTGTTACAAATGGCACCACCTAATCAATGCCATGACCCCGAGAACACTAAGTGCTGTAGACCTAGCAAATCAAACACCAAGACAAAAACTAAAATGAAATATCTATCTTAAAGAGAGAAATCAAAATAAGCAAACTCCTAATGACTTCATGGAAAATTTTAAACATAATCAAATAGAAAAGAAAAAACTGAGCAATGAATATCCTAACAACTATAAGTTTTTATAATAATAAAAAAAAACTTGAAGAGCTCAATTGAAGAAAAAATCTCTTAACCATCCACTTTGGATGTTTTAACTGATTCTTAATTACAAAATTCATTTGAAACCTTCCATTGCAAAGTGAGAATGTGTTCTAAAGTACTGTGAAAAGGTGCTGCAAATTTAAAAGAGTGTGCTATCCACATACCTTTTTTTACTTTTCATACACATCTTTTTAATTTCTGTTCATTGATTTTATTTACTTCATCTGATCCAACTGCTGAAAATTAAAAGGGTATGTGAGAAGTAAAAAGAGGTTTGTGGATATCACACTCCATTTAAAACACTAATTTAAAGTATAAGTCCAACAATAATTAATCACATTATTCAAACGAAGGATCACATGGGTGTAGAGGATCCTCTTCGAGATCCTACATTCTAATCATTTATCATATATCGTGCGGTCAATTTTCGTTAAGTACTATTTATGTTTAATTTTAAATAAAAAAGTCAAATGATTTATAACCGATACAATGCACAATGAATGACTAATTTGGATCCAGATGAGATCCAAATCCGTGAAAAGGAATGACACGAAGAAGAAGTAATCTTGTTGTAAAAGTAGTTTAAGTAATTAAACATAAACATGTGAATATAATTAAAAAAGGAAGGTGGAGAAGACGCGGGAAAGAGGGAGAGTGAGGGAGGAGGAATGGGAGAGAAAGGGCCACAACAACACAGAAAAATACGAGGTACAGCAAATGGGAAGGGGCCAAGGAAGCCATTGTTGTAATTGCTTGCTGGCTGGCTAAACAATAACGAAAGAGGCAAAGGTGGCCCTCTTCCCGTACTCTTGGATTGGACTTTTTTGGAAATACCTTCCTTTTCCTACCATTATTCCCATTTCCTTTTTCTGATACCAAACCAAACCCAGTAATAACAACCAATCTCTCTCTCTCTCTCTCCCTCTCTTCCTCCTCCTCTCTCTCTGCCCTTTCATTTTCTGAGGTCCTTGAGTCACACACAATAATTATAGCCCTTTTTGGTTTCCCAAAATGCCCCTACTGTCTACACGCTATTTACTGCCCCACTCTCTTATGGTAAAAACCAGGTGAAAGGTGAGAAACCTGAATATGTGAAAAGACAGTGAAATGAAGTGAGATACATTATAATATAAATAATATAATAATGATAATATGCTTCTATCTATATGTGGGAAGATAGATTTTTCAAAGTGCGTAAAATATCGATCAGAACATTACATATTATTATATAATTAAAATTTTTTTTAGAAGATGCGATTATAAGACAGAAGTTTAGGAGTAAAAGAGTAAAGGAGGATCTAATAAGACTTGAAAATAGACTCTAAGAAAAGACTTGAAGTACTTGAATAGAAGACTTGTAGTACTTGGATCTACCGGAAAACTTGGCACACACCAAGTGTAGTAACAGTCTAGAATTCATATAGCCAACCCTATTTAGTAGGATAAAGTTTTATTGTTATATCATTCTAATTATATAATGATATGTGATTTTACGTTCCGTGTTTTGGACACACTAAAAATTCTCACGGGGTAGAGGAAGGGAGGGTGATTTGTGATGTGAACGTTGAATAATTATGTAGCCAATAAAGGTAATTGAGTCTTTGGGTTGTCTATTTCCATTAGTGGGTAAGAAGAGAGAAAGAAAGAATTGAGAGAATGCTTTTCGATTTGGTTAACGTGGGAAAGTTGTGTAAAGAAAGAGATGGTTCTTTTTTTTTTTTTTCCTCCCATTTCCCCATCTGATCTATATATTCATGCTCCTTAATATGATCAAACCACCAACAAAATTAAAGATTAAAAATAAAAAACATTGTGACATTATTATAGCAATCTAATGGAATTTTAATCTGCTTATAAGTAAAAATATTTAGATTCGATTTTTGTAAATGACTGATTCGAGATCAGATTATCATGGTTACAGAGAGAAAGAGCGAACAGTAAAGTTGTACCAAACCCAACAGGTTCAACTAAAGAAAAATGAGAAGTAAAAAAAGAAAGAAACTTGGGCTTTATTTAATATAGATGCCAAAAATACATACAACAATTTTTTTATAAAAATGATTGATTTGCATAAAATAAAAAGAAACAAAAATAAGAAAGATAGAGAGAGAGAGAGAGGTATTAACATTAAGGGTGTGGTGGGATGCTTGAGCTAAAGCTTTGCTGAAAACTGGCCTCGTCTATTGCTGTATTGGGCAGTTTAGGTGCCATTCCAGCACAAGATCTTGCATCACCTCTACCTCTCTCTCTCTATAGTATAGCTCTCTAGCTATCTTTTTCTCTCTGGACTTTCTTCAAACACAACCACATCACTAACCTCCTCTCTCTCCTCTCTCTCCAACTTTTTTTCTTCATGTTTCTTTGCTCAAGTTGAAGCTTTTTGCCACGCTGAATTCTGGGTTTAATGTGAAAAATGAAACCGACCATTAACCAAACAGCTGACAGACAAGAGGGAGACAGGGAGATAAAAAAAATGTGGGATCTCAATGACTCGCCTGATCAGCGGCCACGTGGCGAGGAATCCGAAGGCTGTTCCTCCCAGAAGACATCGGCAGACGGAGACGAGGAAAAGGGCAAACGGGTCGGATCCGTATCCAATTCAAGCTCGTCGGCCGTGGTCATAGAGGAGGACGGATCAGACGAAGAAGAAGATCAGGACGACGGCCCAACCAAGCTCGCCAAGAAGCGAGGAGGAGGTGGGGGAGGAGGAGGAAAGATATTCGGGTTCTCCGTGACCCACGAGGAGTCCATGGATAGCGATCCGCCTGTGACCGTCACCAGACAGTTCTTTCCGGTGGAGCAAGACGACTCCTCCTCTAATTTTGACGTAATGGGGTCCGCAGCGGGCGGCGGCAGCATCCCACCACCTCCTTCTACATCATCGTCGTTTCCCCGAGCCCACTGGGTCGGGGTCAATTTCGGGCAGTCGGATTCGGGCAGTCCGGGGAAGCCACCGCCCACCGCGGAGGCCTCCCACCAGCCCATGAAGAAGAGCCGGCGTGGGCCCCGCTCCAGGAGCTCCCAGTACCGGGGTGTTACGTTTTACCGGAGGACTGGCCGTTGGGAGTCTCATATTTGGTCAGTTAATTAGTTGAAACTGGTTGTACTTCCATTCTTATTACTGACTTGAACATTTCTCCATATTATTTGGCCAATCAGACAATTTTGCGTTTTCTATTTTTGGCTTTTTGATTTCTACTTCGGATATACAGGGATTGTGGGAAGCAGGTTTATCTTGGTAAGAAATTCGTATAATTATTTGGGTCTTTTATTTCTTCGACACAAAAATGGTGCCCTTGTCCTTTGGTTGTCCACACACATTCTTTTTTTCTTGTTTAATTTTCTGATATGTATGCTGATGAGATGGGATGGGTTATTTCTTTTTTTACAAACTTTGATTTGTAGGTGGGTTTGACACAGCGCATGCAGCTGCTCGGTGAGCTCTTTGCTTCTCAAATATTGTTATTAATCATATGATACATCCTGTTAATCTTAATTAATTTTGTGGGAATTAATTAAAATGCAGGGCGTATGATCGGGCGGCGATCAAGTTCCGGGGAGTGGAGGCTGACATAAATTTTACAATAGAGGATTATGAAGAAGACTTGAAGCAGGTGAGTTCATCAGCGAGTATGTGTGTGGTGTGTACGGCCCCCGAGAAAGAGAGAATGGATTTGCGCTTATCTTCAACAGTTTTATTATACCTTATCTTCAACAGTGTTAGCAATACATATATATATACACAATTTTTTTATTTTAATTAATAATCATACAAGCAATATTGAATGCTGCATCCATCTAAATTACTGAACGGGACATATGAACTGAGATCCAGAGGACATGAAAAGCTTGAAACATATTTTTTGAGCAAGGGAAATTAAGATTCATATTATGATTTTCTTGGGATGATTATGATGTTAAATGTCTTTTTCTTGCATGGAATGGAACACGCAAGCAGATGAGCAATTTAACAAAGGAGGAGTTTGTGCATGTACTTCGCCGACAAAGCACCGGCTTCCCGAGAGGGAGCTCCAAATATAGAGGGGTCACCTTGCACAAGTGTGGCAGATGGGAGGCCAGGATGGGCCAATTTTTAGGCAAAAAGTAAGTACAAAATTAATAATTCCAGCAGCTTCGCTCCTTCTGTTATTATTATTAATTAATTAAACCGTGTTTAACCCAAGAAAAAAATAAACCTTAATTAGCTTCCATCCTGCGCACAAGTTTCTCACTGTTTTTGTTGTTCATTTTACTATTTTTCTTCATTAATTTCTACAATTTTTATGACTTTTTATGCTAAATTGTTTGGCAGATACGTTTATTTGGGATTGTTTGACACTGAGATTGATGCTGCAAGGTGTGTATATGTGTGCATATATAATATAGGTATATTTGTAGTCTTTAGTAATTATATGATTGAATTCTTGTAGGGCTTATGACAAAGCAGCAATCAAGTGTAATGGCAAAGAAGCTGTCACCAACTTTGATCCCAGCATCTACGAGAACGAGCTCAACCCCTCTGGTAAATATAACTAAATAGGAAAATGTTGATGCATTGTAGTTTGATGATGATTTGATCATATGTTCTAGCTTGATTTAATTAGTATAATTATTCAGTTCGATATGTATTTGCGTAGAATCATCGGGTGTTAATGCTGCGGATCACGACCTTGATTTGAGTTTGGGAAGCTCAAACTCAAAGAAAAACAATCAAGCATTAGGGAATGATAATAACAGCCAAAATGCTGCACCGGAACGCCAGCATTCTGTCTCGATGCAATTTGATGCTGATTGGAGGAGTCAAGGATTTCGGCCTAAGGTATCTTATGTTGCCATATTATAGAACATAATTATATTGGTCGACATAAGTTTGGTTAGAAAACATTTCACACGTTATTAATCATTTCTGAAGTTTATGTTTCCTTCGTTTAATAGCTTAACATACAACGGGATCGATCTCGAGACGACATTGATGCTCAGAGAAAAGACGGGTACTTGGAGAGTGAAGCCATGCAGCTTCTACTCCGAACCAACCTTCAATCTCAAGTCCCAGCTGAAATGCATAAATATGGGCAGTTCAGTAGTAGGAGGCCTACTGCCGAAGACATTCAAATGCCTCACAATTTCCCACCACATTTCAACTCACCAAATTATCATCATGTGAGCACAATTAATATTTATCTTTACCCATAATTTCCTATAGTACATTGTGAAGTTGATGGTGATTAATTGCTTATTATAAGTTAATTATATTTTTGGTAGATTCAGTTTCCGAGCAGCAGTGAAGGAGGGGGCCGCATTGGCAGTGATCTTTCACTGTCAATGAGCGACCACCACCACCAATGGCAATCCGCTACTCCGACCTCCGATTTATTTGCAACTGCTGCAGCATCATCAGGATTCCCACCACAAATTAGACCGTCGACCGCACAAAACGGCTGGCTGCAGAAAAATGGGTTCCACTCTCTCACCAGACGCTAATTAAAGCTAGCTTAGCTCTCTTTGGTCATGACCCCTCTTAATCAAGATTTTTGTGCCTAATTACCACCATCATCCCCCACGTCCCCGATTCTAATTTATTACGATCAAGTCCTCTTGATTCTGTTTATTTTGTAAGCACCAAAAATCCAGTTCTTTCGGTGCTCCAAAACAAAGATAAATTTTAGTAACAAGGACAGGAAATTCTCCTATTTTTTGGGGAAATGAAATCACATGTATGCTCTCATTGGTATTTACCAAAACAAAAAAGAACAATACTTGGCAACTGAAATATGAGTAGGAACTTATACTCGAAACTCTTAGTATTTGAATCATAGAGTTTTGTGCTTATGATCAAAATCGTTCATACAATGAATCATATTGTAAAGATTATCTTTGCAAAAAATAAATTAAAATTGAAGTTGTGTAGTCAATCTATTGTAGCAAATGCATAAACGATTTGTGATGCTTTTACCAATACCGTTAATTTGTTTTTAAATAGTTTGATGATTAAACGATCTTAATTTTAATTGATTTTGTGCAGATGCGATTTTTATAAGGTGATTTATAATATGAACGGTTTTAATTATAAACACGAAGTTCCATAAAATTGACAACGAATAGTTTTGAAAAATTTTAAGTAAAGGTTCTTACTCATCTTTGAGTAGTTAAGTATTGTCCAACGAAAAATGTATGACAACTGGTCAAACCAACAAATGAAGTCGATATTCAACTAGATTTTCTGAGTTCTGACAACAATTATTGATTTCTTTTCTTATTTAATTTTGTATATTAATATCTCAATGCCTAGTATCTATCTTTTTTAATAAATTTAATTTTGGTCATAAAAGTTGGGGTTGGAGTTACCTAATAGAGTAATGCGTGACATAATTTAGGTGAAAAAACAAAGGGAAGGAAAATCTAGGGTTAAAATTTTGTATTAAAAGAGGGGTGGAGACTGGAGACAGAAGAAAATGAGGGATACGAAAAAGGGGTATTTTGTAAATGTCTTGCAAATATCAAGGCAACGGTGATGAATAGTCGCTCTCATCGGTGTCCTTCGAATCAGTTCTCTCCGCCAAAAACAGTCAGACACTGCTATTATGACGAGAGGGACCTTTCATTTTTACAGTCTTGTACGTTATTTTGTGTGGTGTTTTTGTTTGTCTTATGCAATCTCATATTACAAATAGAGAAGAGTAATATTAGGTAGATTAAATTTATAGAATAAATAATATGTCACTAATAGTAAGTGAGAACGTTAATCAACACTTAAGTAATGATTTAATCATCAATTTCTATGTTATTTAATTTATCAACTTTGGTCTCTGAATTTATCTAGCATTACCCAATAAAAAAAGGGTTTATGGTTAATTTGTGCGTTGTTGTTTTTGTGTTATTATTTGGGTCTGGAATAACAATTTAAGTCGAGAATGGGTTAACCTGAGTTGGAAAGCCACATTCCTCGGTCCAGTAATAATCCCTCAGGCCAGTGGATTTTCAAGCCCCACGAAAGGATTGATTCGACACTGTCTTCATGAAAGTAGGAGTGTGAAATGATTAAGTTCAAACGTGGCTCGGTCAAGTCCTTAGTGAACTAAAATGGCCAAGGATTAGAATAGGCTTTGGTTAGAGGTGAATTATTCTAAGGATCAGAATTCATTCTTGATCAAAATAAGAATGAATTAATCGCATAAAGGGGCTAGGTTCAGAATCCTAATTTAAATCAAGAAGTCAAGACTAGATAAAGGTGAGTTTCGACTAAGGAAATGATTAAAAGAGATAAAAAAACTGAATATTCAAGTAATGCAGAGTGACATAGTCCCATCAAGACTCTATCTCCGCAGACTTGTTTATCACAACACCAATCCTAGAAGAGGTTATGTAACATGGAAAACCCCCTTCAACTCAACAAATAACTCAAAACGCTATACGCGAAACCCTTCTCATACCCCTAAAAAAAATACTAAATATCAGGCTATCTCTAACCGATGGCTGGCCAAAGGGCTCGTTTTATCCCTCTGGCCCTCCAAGATATTAATATTTTAATAAACAGTACATGACTATATTTGCCTCCATTTCCAACTGAGGGCCAAAGGGCGATAGGGCTTGTTTTAGCCCTGTCACAAAAAACTGTCTCCAACCGAGGGCCAAATATAATTTATTATTTAAATTTAAAAACTACAACAACTTAAATTTAAAAACTACAACAACTTAAATTTAAAAAACTACAACTTAAATTTATGTTGTATAATTTTTATGTTGGTTAATGTTATTTAATGTTGTTTCATATTGTTTAATGTTGTTTCATGTTACTTAATTTAATTTAATGTTGTATAATGGTTTAGGAAGTTATAGGAAAAAATTAGAATTTAAAAAAAATATGAAACAAATTTTGTAAAATAGAGGTTATGGGAAAAAAATGGAATTTAAAAAAAAATATGAAACAAATTTTGTAAAATAGAAGTTATAGGAAGTTATAGAAAAAAATAGAATTTAAAATAGAATTAAATAGAAATTATAGGAAATTTTTTTTATAAATAACTATAAAAAATAAAACTGTAAAAAAAAAAAATTAAAAAATAAAAACCGCTAGCTAACATTAGCTAGCCATTGTATTCAAAATTTTCCCAACTATTCGTGTCGGTTATAACCGACAGTTTTAAGCAAAAAATTTGGCTAGCCTGGGGCTGGCTGGCTGGAAGGGGTCAGCCTTTGGCCCTTTTAGATTCCATGGGGCCCACGAGCCCTCTGGCCTAGCCCTTGGTTAGAGACGATTTTTGGACTATTTTCGGCCCTCTAGCCTTTTGGACCCTTCGGTTGGAGATGGCCTCATAACCCTCCTTGTTAACGCATATTCAGTTTGAATAAGTAAACAACACTGTGTTGCCAATCCACGACACCTTCAATTTGGATAAGTAAACATCACTGACATCGTAGAATCAAGCAAAATAAATCACATTTAGTTTGGACAAGTAAACGACGCTACTTCTAGGTTTATTGATTATCTATCCAAGTCTCGGCAGGCGAAGAGTTCTTAATTCTTTCACCCAAAGAGTTCACTTTATTGGCTTCCGAGCAAAGTGAAGTGTTTTATGATTGGTTACTCTTAGGTGAATTTTTCATTTTGATTCAGATGGCTGAACTACGTTCACCATTAAAACATTCATCTCATTTGAGTACATGTGCCCTTATAGCCTGATACCGATTCGACACACTTATATTCTCCCGAATAATGTCGAAGTGGTTGAACCTGGTACATGGGATCCTGAACTTTGCAGTGAACTGGGCAACGTTTTCTTCAGGTTCTAGAACCCAAGCCCTAGACATGTTCTTGCCCCAGCCGTAATCGCTAAAGTGCAAAAGTCAGCAGCGCATTCGACACCACCACCACATCTATTCTACTTGCTCGATCGAGCTTGATTCCGAGTTGGCACACCCACATTCACAAGATGGACGTAGTTAGCTCAATAGTTACTCAATATGCGTGTCATGTAGGTTTTGTAGTTTTTAGGTTAAACGTTTATTCAATCTGATGGCTATAAATAAATAAAGAATGATTGTTAGAGAAGAAAACTGTCCGTGTTTATAGTTTCTCTAAAGTTAATTATTGTTAGTTTTGAAAAACAAATTTGATTTTTCTTTAGAAGTTGCCAACACCTTTGAATTTGAAACTACTCAAATTTAATGGTAAATATGTGTCGGTATTGAGTGTCGTAATTAAAGAAACATAACGGAATAAAATCAAGCTTAATGAGTGGCTTGGACCTAGAGCGTGAATAAAGAAAGGAAAGAAAAACATAATATATTTAAAAAGAAACAAACACAAAAAGTTAGTGGCCAAATGCAAATGGGTATACGAGTTAGGGTTCCACTTGGGATTCACACTAAACCCCTAGTTGTTTTGCAAATAAAAAAAAAAAGGGCCAAGTTGGATGGGTGGGTTAGACCTAGAACATGCGACAATACGAAGAAAGCTTTTCTATTTTTTATTTTTTATTCTAAAAAAATGGTACCTTGTAATATTTTAATCGTCCGCCACATTCAGATGTTGTAAGTTAGGTAGATGCGAATAAAATACATGGGCTGCTTCCATCATCCTGCGCGTCACACCAAAGATTTTTTTTATAGGCTCATACAAATATATTCTTCTCTCTCTCCCTATCGATCTGCACATTTTTTCCAAGTCTTCATCATATTACATGTGGTACTAATGAAAAAGTTCAGGAGCAGGATATCGTTCAACCCATCGAAATGGATGTATGTGTATACATATAAAAGGTACTTTGTGTGTGTGTGTGTGTATGGTCAGTCGTAGCTGTAACATGTGTGTACGTACTTATCTTTCGAAGCCAACATGGAGTGTTGTACTTTCGCTTTGGGGATGGCATTATACCCCTCAAAGCTCAATTTTCTTTAGCTGAACACACCATGGTATATTTTTGCTTTAGCTGAACCCACCATAGTACATTTTTTTCTCACAAAATTAGGCACTTTTTTTTTTGTTCAGTCTTGCATGTAGATAAACAATAACTATGTGTCTACTATATGTAATAATATGTGCCAAAACGTATAGAATATAATACTTGTCTACTATATGTTGTCCAAATTAATTTATCTATCTTTTATTTTATATATAAATATAGGTAAATTATTTAACAAGTGTATATATAATAACAATGTGCCTACTATGTGTAACAATACGTGCCAAATTTACCTATAGAATAAACAAATGTTATTTGATTCAAAACTAGTTTATTTACCTAAAAATATAGATACATTATTTGCACATAAATACACTAATGATAATAATAATAAAACGTTCCCAATAAATATAATGATACATGCAAAATAATTTTCCTACAAAATATAGGAATGTTATTTTATTCAATTGGTAAATATAGGTACATTAACTTATATGTTGGTAGATTAGTATATATAATGTATTAATTAGTATTTATTTGTAATACGTGGAAGCTTATTTTAGCATGGGACCATTGCTCATTGATCAATGATCATAAATATGGCGAGTAATTACATTTATTAACATGTTTAGGGAAAATATGGCCTAAATTGTAAATATTTTATAATAATTGGTCATTTATTCATCTACATTAGCAGGATTTTTGAAATTTGGGTGTTACTTGGATTAGACCTGGCATTTGTATCGTGTTTTCTGTGTTCTTGCCAAAAATTTTTAGTTTTATTTATTTTTATAGTAGACTATAGG